TATTTAGTTTCAGTACGCATTACATAAGCTACGGTAGATGAAAGGCATTGGTAGATGATTTGGTTATGAAACTTTTCTTGTTTGCTTTGATCGATTCACTAGCAATGTACTGAGGATATAATATAACAAAACTATGGATATAACAAAACTAAACTTAATTAATTTATGCAGTAATTCATTTCATTTACAAACGTTATTATTATTTCAATATGGCAGAATCAAANGGCTTGTGGCTGGTACAAAGGCGTTTTCATGTGTTTGACATTATAATCGGCGCAAAGCTTTGCGAAAATTTGACTGATGAATTGAGTACCATTATCTGATATGAGTTCGGGGCAGCCATTCACCGTGAATATATGTCGAAGATAATTTACTACGGATATGGCGTTTGCGTTTTTCATGCAAAAGCGGTTTTCAGTTGACTCGATTTTGCCAAAGGAATTTGAAAGAAAGCTTGAGACAGATCAGTACTGGTTAGGTATTTAGCTCACTTCAGTCGTGCCAAAATTTGGTTTGTATCCGTAATTGGATAGGCATTTGGAATGGTAATTTTATTCAGCTCTCTCGCGTCCAAACACACGCGACACGTTCCGTCTTTCCCCTTTACAGCCAGAATTGGTGACCGCCAAGGGCTTTCTTCGATGGTCATAATGATGTCACGACTACGTATTTTATCCAATTGGGCTTGAACTTGTTCAGCCACATATGGCGATACTGGATACTGGCGTTTGATGACAGGTTTTGCATCACCCGTATTAATTACGTGTTCGATCTGAGTAGTGACATTTAAAGGACCAGACTCAGGATTTGGATTAAAAAGTCTGAGAACGGCGTCCAACATTTGACTTTGATCTGGGGTGAGATTATGTGGAAGGCTGACGCTCGTTATTTTTGGGGTATCTAGTTCACCCTCTAAACCGAGTGTGGAAGCGTCAATTGGCTCCAGATCATTACTCATAGAAGATACCTGAGCTTGTTCTTTTTGTTGTTGTTGTTGTAACAGCATACAAATTCCCCAAAGAGATTTTGGGGAGTGTTGCTGGAGTGACAGTCCTTGGCCAGATATAAATCTGGGTCGTTCCGGTTACGTAGACCCGACTGTCGTGGGAACGGAGCTTGTTCTTTCCCACTCCCTGGTGGCTGGTTACAAAAAATAATATATTATCCGCCGTAACCATTTCGACTTTAGCGGATGCAACTTCTTCAGTATCACCTTTGGCTGTATGTTTTAAGAATCGTTGAACTTTCTCTTGATTCTGCACCAGTTCGAAAAAGAAGGCCTCAAGGAATGTCCGTCCCATAATTGGGTGTATCAGTGAGATAGGTACAAGAGCTGGCACCAATGGCCTTAAAAGAAATCGAATTATCGGCAAGACCAATGGAGATTTTGGTAGGTTGCAACTGCCCCCATCTGTAATTCTCATAAAATGTTTGTGAAATGACTGTGACTTCGGCTCCACCATCGAGTAAAACCATATGAGAATGGCTGTTAACCATAACCGTGAGATAATCGCGACAATCGTTCGGAATGTTATATGTCAAACATTTCTCTGAGATAAAGAAAACATCGCGGAGTCGTGGTTGGTTAACTTGATTGACTGCGTCTTGCTGGTGAGTAGGGACTGGAGCTGAAGTAGGTTTGGTAATTGGTAGTGTTCGTTCAGAACATTTAGTTGATGGTTCTTTGCCATCCTTTTGAGTTTGATTAGATTCATTAAGAATCAGAGTGGAATTATTACTGGAATTCTGGACTGAAGATTTGTTGATTTGTAGAGGGACTTAGGTGTGCGATTGTAGAGGGACTTAGTGCGGATTGTTAGAGACAGTGGATTTAGATAAAGTTGTGGATTCTGAGTACGATGGACCACTATTCCCCATCGACTCCCTTACGCGTTTTTTGAACACGGGCATTGATCAGACGTAACCCCCGGTCGAGTACATTTGTAGCACTCTTTTTGAAGTGATGGCCCCACACGAGACATTTTGCACATCGTACATTTTCGTCGCCCTCAACAGCGACGATAGTTCCTACTTTCGTATCATTCTCCTTTGGATTTTTGTCATTTTTATAATCCTCGACTGGTTTCGAATACCTACGTTTCTGAGATGCTTTAATTGATTTCTTTTCCTTGTTCACGTATGCACATTCCCTGTCATCGGAGTCGGACCCAGGAAAAGAAGCGGTATATTCCGAATGTGAAGAATCATCCGGTGGATCATGTATTGCCGTAATTTCCCGTGGCACTGATCGCTGTCTATCCGAACGGGTTCTTTCCGGACGGGGTGTGGCAACAATGAACGAATGTGGTGCAATTCGCTGAGCGAACTCACGCAATTGCTCCAACGTGTGGACTTGTCGAGTGTGGACAAGTTCACGCAGATGATCGGATAACGTACCAATGATAATATCGAGGTGGTCCCGTTCATCCAGACCACAGGAATTACCCTGCAATTGGAATGTCAAGACATCGATATGTTTCAGAAGTGTTTGCGAACGTGGATCGAATTTAATCTGTGCGTATGACATTTATACTTGGGCCCGAGTATGTTTGTTGAGGAAACGAGCACGAAATTGATAATCTCCGAAGTTTCTCAGTTCGGTGAAGTACCATTGTCGAGCGGCCCCCGTGAGTGTGGGTACCAAACGCGTAACCAATTCCTGGTCGGGTACTCCAATCTTATATCGAAATGAGCCAATAATAGCCAAATAACCTTCAACCGATAGATATTTTTCGTTCACATGAACGCCATCGAATTGAGCACGTCCCATCCATGATAGTAAGCCTCTGAATTTCCTATCCATTGCATCCGCTTGGGCAGATTCGTCGAATAAAGTGGCTTGATTTGTTCGTGATTGTGGTGGATCGGATAGCGAATAATTCTGATATAAATGAGATGGTTGATTAATTGGTTCTTGGATATGTGACGTTCTAACACCACGGTAGGTATTGATCGTTTTAGTTTGTAAGGTTGAAGGACCACCTAAAGAACCATGAGAAGGATCCACCGAGGGTGGTATCCAGGTATGATTCCGGGTCGTTGGCCTGGTTTGGTTCATGTCACGAACGTCAGGTATTGGTGTCTGTAAATGAATCCGGTCACGAATCATTTGCTGTTGCATCTGTGTTTGGGTTCTCAACTACTCGGATTTCGGACAGTTGGTGTAATGGGGGTGTTGGTTCCGTCCCGCCTGACACTGAATTGAGAACGGCTAGTAGAGCATTTGAATTAACCGTACTAGTGGTCAGAGTATAGCGTGGTTCAGTTGCCTGAACCAAAGTCGGTATATTCGGGTTTGAAATCGAATCTGGTATGGTTAAGGGTAAATATTGGGATGGAACAGTATTTTGAGTTGAACTCATCGTTCCCCGTTCATGCCCAAAACCGTGGAAGGTCGAGTTCAAACTTAATCGGGAATCGCCCATCGGGATTCCCGTATTCGGTTAAGACATCGGAAGCTCATGAATCTTCGACTGAAATTTTCCGATCAGATCTGCCTGGCATGTAGCCGACTCGGGTTTTAACTTTAACTGAGCGGTTCGATAACAATAATGTAATAACATTCCCACGACAGCCGGTTCTACGTACCGGAATGACTCGGGTTTTACCCGACCAAGGGCTGTTGTTTCAGCGATCTAACCCCGTTTAGGTCGGCGAAGTATCTCAGAAGTTGTTCGCCCATAGGGCTACATTCACTACGTATTCTTCTACTCAGGGCTGGCATCGAGTCAAACCCAGGGCCAGAAATCTACACCTGCTGTGTATGCCGGAGACGACTACACCACAACTCCACNGACAGTGGACCACGTCGTACGTGGCCCCCTGTTGCTCAAACAGAGCAGCCTCCACGGC